CTTGCGGGCAGTTTCCGACCTCGTAACGTGGGAATACGCCGCGTTACATATACTGGGACCACAATGTCCATAAATATCTCCCGAGAGGACATAGTCCAACCGGTATCCTCCAAAACCTCACCAATATAGATAATACATAGATATATCTCTCATGCATCAATCTCATGCATGCAACAACTCTACTACTTCTCAATGCATCAAAGAATGATATACCACATGCTTATGGTTTTTGAAAATATTACTTGGGCTCACGTTGGCCCCTTATGCATTTTTGAAATATGACATATGCCTCTTGTAAAGGCCTTGTGCCTCTTTTGATGATGAAATAAAGTTTTACAAAAAAAAAAATAAATAAATAAATGTGAGAGGTCTTGAGTTTGATAAAAAAAAAAATATGACATATGCGAGATGCCAAATACTCTATAACATGCTTCAAAACCATGTATAAAATAACATGAAATACTCAAGAATATAATATCATGCTCGGTTTGCCACATAGCAAATTCTATACATTCTATCAACAAAATATGCTACATTTCTCATTGATCAAATATCACAATCTAGTCATGCTTTCATAATAAATCATATTCTCAAAGGATCATGCTTCTCTACTCAATACAAAAATATCATCAGATCACATAGTCAAGTATTTCTTATACACAGTGAACTAACAAATATATGAACTGTGTAGCAATTCTTCAATAAATCATTCATACCATACTCATTTTTTATCCACATTCAACAAAATCAAAGCCAAAACGTGCGTCGAGACGATCCCGAAGAGCCGAGCCACAAGGGCCCGTAACACTTGGCCCAAAACGGCACATAGCTGAGCCACAAGGGCCCGGCCACTGCACAAATTCTTCTCAGATCAAAACTCAGGGACCTAGGGCGGGACTCCTCAAGAGCCGCCCCATGTGCCTCGTTACACCATCGAGTCTAGCGGCAGCCCTCCTTTAGGACCGTGCCCTAGACCCGTGTAACCCCGGCTCTAGCCGGTGGCCCTCCTGATTGGCCGCGGCTAGGGCCGCTGGTCTGATCTGGTGCACTCTGTGTGTGCACCAAATGGCATTTTCATCTGCAAACTCAAACCAAACAAGTCCAAAACATTCTCAACAACTCAAAGGGAAATACTATATCACTTCTAAGCATAAACACAACAAAATCTCATCATTTCTACTCAATAACAAGGCTTCACATAGCCAAAATTCAAGAAAGAATCCATGGGGTTATACCTCTTGTAGTTTCTTCTTCTAGCTTGGATCTCTTCTTCCTCCCAACCTAGCTAGCACCTCCTTCACCACCTAAACTTCCCAAACAAACCATACAACCTTAGCCTAGAACCTCAGAGGATGGATGAAACTAGAAGAGAAAATGTAAGCTAGGATTGAAAGGGGAAGAAGATAAACTTACTGTGTTGTTTCTCCCCTTCTACTTGGCAGACAAATGTTTGGAGAGGCAAAGAAAGAGATCAGGAAATCAACAATGGAATAGTGAAGTTTATATATGGTCCAAAACCCTAGGTAGAAAGCAAATGATTGGATGAGGGCAAAATGGTAAAGGCTTGGCTAGATGATGTTCTCAGGCAATGCCATCTTGGAGGAATGTGGTTCACCTAGTATCATGAACCAAGGCTAGAAATGCTAACTTTAAATACTTTGGGGTTGAAAATGAAGTTTCTCAAAAAGCTATTTAGATGAACCCTTGTTTAAAGTATTTTTGAATTCTCCCGGTCTCACTAAGATAAATTTCTCGATTTAAAACTTGTACGCGAAGTACCCGAAATTTTAGGAATTTCGAATAAAATAAATTTTGGTGTCGAATTAATTTAAAAGTGACAAAAATAATTTATCCAAACACCAATTGATCGCAAAAAAATTTTAATGGAGTGAAAATAGCTATTTTGGAATTTCTTAATACCGGATTTATAAAATAAAATTTTGGGTTGTTACACCCCGCCCCCGCCCCCGCCCCGTTGCCATCCCTAATTGTTGGGCAAGCAATTATGTTTGTAAGAGTATTGAGCAATGCTCCTCTTACAAACATATATGCCCTGTTTGGTAAAATGGTTGTTAGCTGATAGCTGATAGCTATTAGCTGATTGTGTTAATTAGAGGGTATAAATAGTTGATAACATTAGCTGATTGTAGAAAAGTGTTTGGTAAATTAGTTGTTAGCTGATAGCTGTTTGGTATAATTTCTTTTTGAGAAAAAGTTGCTTGGAGTAAATTTTTGAATTTTAGCCTTTTGGAGTTGCAAAAGCTAATTAACCAAACATTTATATTGATATTTTAACTAAATCAAACAATTAATAGTGGTCAAATAAGCATAAATTGGCCTATAGGCCAATTTTTTTACCAAACAGGGCCATAATTGCTTGCCCATCAATGTGGGCAAGTATTGAGAAGTCCAAATATTTTTTTAAGTACTATTGACCCGACAAATTATGCTGTGGAACTGTGTCCACATTGCAAGGTAGACACCGTTAAAAAATTATTCATAATTATGAATATATAGTTCAAAAATTATGAACATATAGTTCTATAATTATGAACATAGTGTTGTGAACATAATTATGAACATATAGTTATGTAATTATGAATATAGAGATTCAATAATTGTGAGTATGAAGTTCAAAAATTATGAATATATATCTTTAGAGTTTCTGGTTCGTTAGGGTTTTGCCATCGCCGCTTTTTGCATGGCTTCGTCGAGCTCGATCAATGCGATAGCTAACCTCACGTTAGTTGATATCGACGATGTGGAGGACATTCACCAACTCACTAATGTCCCCAATGTCCCTGTTGGTGATCAAGGGGAGTTTTATCTAATTGGACGGCTGATAGCTGATCGGCCAGTAAAGTTTCCGTTCTTTAGGGATACGATCTCGTCTGTTTGGAAGCCGGCTATGGGAATGAATGTGAGCGAGTTGAAGTCTAAGACGTATCTATTTCGCTTTTTTGATGAGTATTGTACCACCCCGAAATTTTGAAACTTTTAAAACTTATATAATAAAGGTGAATTCTCATTAAATCCCAAAATCAAACATAAGAGTGCGGGGTGCTATGCCACATCTGAGCTGGAGAACTCAGATACACAGGCTAAACTAACTAAATATCTTCAAAGCAATGTCAATACATAATCATGACACGCAAGCCGAAAGGGAAACTAACTAATCTACGCTCCGGATCTCTAGCGCGCTCCGGGGTTTACTCATCTGTGCCTGAAAGCCAAATATATCTGTTCAGCGAATGATGCTGGTAACCCACTCCAACGCGTTGAAATACATATCGATATATATATATATATATAGAGGGTGCGGATCCCATGAGACCCCTATACTAAAATGAGATGGTGAGATGACATCTCATCCATTTGTACATTTGTAATGGATGGATGAGATTGATTTAGGAATGTAATGTAAAATAGGGAATATTATTAATAGGAGGGTTTAAAAGTAATTGTATTAATGTGTTAATTTTGGTTATAATGTGATTAGAATCTTTTCCATAATTAAATATCACAAGTATAATAGAAATGATTAGTTGTCAACTATGCATAGAAGTTGTTGGAGCACAACCGTGAGCAGTAAGAGGGTGTTCCGGACGTAACTTCATTCGACGAACATGTCTCAAACCACAGGTAAGAGATTTGCAAACTCAATTTTTGTAATGTGTTTTGTACAGTGGTCTGTGCAGCCAGGTTGTACGGCGTGTGCTTCGTTTTGTTTGTTCGGTGTGGGCATTGTTATGTGTTGGTGGATGTATTTATATTAATATGCGAGGGGGACACGTCGCATTTGGGGGGGTTTGTGTGTGTTTTTATTGGAATGGGTGGGATTTGGTTTGTGGGTGAATTTAGGTTTGTGCGTTCGTTTAATGCGGCGTGTGCACCTTACTCATTCGAATTAGAATGGTTATGCTTGAATTTAAGTAATTGGTTTGTAAAATTAGTATTACAATGGGTGTGCATGAAATCATGTGAGGCATTAATTCCCACTAAAGTAGAGTTTATGACTGTTATTTGGATAGTGCATGCAATGAGGTCTGTGTGTTTTTGTAACGTCGGTCTGTGCGTTAGTTCACGTCGGTATGTGCGTGTTTTTATTATTGTATTACATGGCATTCGGTGGACGACCAGTGGGTGTATTTCTCCAAGGTGCGTTGTCATGACGTGCAATAAAATGATTTTGATTAAATGTGATTTTCTTCAAAGGTATGGCAAGTATTTTTATAATAATGGATGGCAGTCAATAAATGTGAAATCGGGTTTGTGCGTTAGTTCCCCACGGCATGTGCGTATGTGTATTATATGCGGTCTGTGCGTTATCACTAATAAGATGTACAGTTCATTACAATTATCTAATGCAATGGTTGTGTTTATTGTATGCAAGTGAATATTATATTATTCATAACATCTTATGGACTAATGTATTGGTTTGTCACTTACAGATAACGTTGAAAAAAATGCTGAGGAGAGGGATTGTGCTACGGAGGTACCACCGGGTAGCACGATGGTTTGGATACCAGAGTGTGATCCATGTCTGAAACCATTTGAAGGACAAGTATTTGAGTCATTAGATGCCGAGATTGATTTCTATATATAGTACACGGCAAACGCCGGATTTGATGTGCGGCGCAGTTCTGATGAAAAGAACAAATACGGAACAATATTGAGAAAGCGATTGGTGTGCTCTCGAGAAGGTTTTAAGGGGCCGACGGGTATAGCAGCATGTACAATTGAAGGACCAAAACAACAAAAGCGGCGACGTACGACTAACAGAGTAGGGTGTCGGGCGAGGATCGCATTCAAACTGGGTATCGGGGGGGGATACGAAGTAAAAAGGTTTCGAAGAAGAACACACGCACAGTTTGTGCAAGGATAGATATAAACCGTTCATGAAAGTGAATAGGAAGCTGGACATTGGACACCAACAATTCCTAACGAACTGTCTGAAAATCAACATCGGATCAAGTAAGAGTTTTGATCTATACGCAGAGATGGTTGGTGGTGTCGCTAATGTGGGAGCTACTAAACAAGATTTTAAGAATTACAAGAGAGAGATATTGGAATTCATGAGGGAGGGAGATGCACAAATGGTAATATCAAAGTACCTTGCAAAGAAAGCAGATGATAAAAATATGTTCTTCGAATACGAAATGAATGAGCAAGACAACTTGGCCCGACTGTTTTGGGCGGATGGTGTGGCACGGAAAAATTACGGAGCATTTGGTGATGTCGTGTCATTTGATGCTACATATCAAACAAACAGGTATGTACCGGTTTAATGGTTTGGCATTACGAATATGAATCAAATAAAACATTAATTAATATTAAGCAGATGACAAACGGTTTGGCAGACTGAAATTAATACGGTGTGTGCGTGACTATTATGAGGCTTGTGCATTATGCTGGTTCAGCATTTAAAAACACGTCATCAGTGTAATGAGTTATTTATGTTGGTGGCAGGTACAAGCTCGTTTTTGTTCCATTCACCGGCGTAGACAATCATAAGAGATGTGTAACATTTGGCGCAGGAATGATCGATAGGGAAGACGTGGAGTCATACCGTTGGATCCTACAGAAGTTCAAGGATGCAATGGGAAGTATACCCCCGTTGACCGTAACTGATCAGGATCCGACGATGAAGGTGGCAATTGCAATGGAGTTCCCCGGGACTCGGCATCGTTATGGCATGTGGCATATCATGACAAAGGTGGGTGATAAAGTTGGTACTGAGATGGCACAAAATGATGAGTTCTGGCGTGCACTAAATGCTGTTGTATGGAATGAAAAATCAACAATCGACGAATTTGAGAGTACATGGGATGCAGTTATTGGTAAATACGGGCTAAGCGACAACAGGTGGCTGAAGCGTATGTATGAAGACCGTGCGTCATGGGTGCCTGCATTCTTTGATGATGTGTTCATGGCAGGCCTTTTGAGGACGACTTCACGTTCTGAATCAGAGAATAGAGTATTCTAAAGAAATAGTAATAAGCACCTATGTCTGGTTGATTTTTGGAACAGATTCGAGACTGCAGTAAAGACACAGCGTAACACACACCTTGAACTAAGCGCAGCGTGCGAGGGACAAACCCCACCTTTGAAGACCTCATTGCGTATAGAGCGAGAAGCAGCATCGGTGTACACATTAAAGGTTTTTTACGAAGTGCAAGAAGAAATCTATGCCGGTTGTTATACATGTCGAGTGCGATCAATAACGGAAGATGAGACATCGAAGACATACGTCGTTGTGGACGGGAACAAGGAGACGTACACGGTCATACTTGAATATGGAAGCAACACCACGACATGCACCTGCCGATTATACACAAGGATTGGACTGTTATGCCGACATGTTTTTGTTGTTTTGAAGAATGAACAGATAAGTCAAATACCTCCACAACACATTACTCCCAGATGGACCCGCGAAGCAGGAATATACACAAATCTCGATACAACCAACGAGAGAGAGGAAGGCGAAGAGAGTACACCACAAAACAACAAAGATGAAAGTAACCTAATTAATGCATTCTACAAATATTTAGCCATGGCACGAGGGAGGACCGACAAACTTCGACAACTGACTGATGTGATAGAAGATTTTCAAGGGCAAATGCGCGAGGATGGACAGGAAGGGAGTACAGTAAACGGGAAACAGGCGGTTATGGAAACATATTGTGGTGTGCCAGCCCCAAACACAATTGTAGTGCACCCCCCAACGGTGGCAAATACGAAAGGGTCTGGGAAGCGAATGAAATCAGCGAAGGAGCTGGCAATGGCGGAGCAAGTAAAGAAAAAACGAACGTGCAAAACTTGTGGTTTGGCGACCGGGCATAATAGTAGGAGCTGCCCACAAAAGCAGTGATGATTATATGTGGTTAGAATTGAACGCACGAAAAGGGAAAAAGATTTTAAATAATAATTTTTATCCAGAACATATGGTTATGTTTGATATTCGCGTTGTGTACACGAAAGTGTGAGTTAAATTTGTTGAGAATGAAATGTGAACAAATGTTAGCGAATTGAATAATGGACAGGATGACGCACAAGCGTAATAAGTAGCACGCACCAACTAGTATGGGATTACAGTATGACGCACACACCTCACACCAAGAACGCACACCGCATCACAATATGCAATGTGGCGTAAGCAAAATATATATATATATATATATATATATATATATATATATATATATATATATATATATATATATATATATATATATATAATGAATCAAAAAAATGAAAACAATAATCCAAAAGTACAATTTTGTAACAGAAATACGCCAAACGTCACACCACAAACGCACGCACATGAAAATTAAAACCGAGCAATTTTTAGCCACCTGCATTATCTGGGACGGAACTGTTTTAGTACGATAAATAAATTAGTACTGAGTAACGACTAATGTATGTTCGCTTGTAAGGGATAAATAGAGCATGTAACTTTGTATGTGCGAATTATAACGTGACGTTTGCGGGCATGTATTTTTACAAATGCGGGCAGCGTACATGGGTAATAGTTGCTGCAATGAATGCATTGTAACTTAATTATGTAATCGTGTGGAAAAATAGAAGCTTAATCATGTGGGAAATTAGTGCAGATGGAGGTTTGTGCATGAAAGCAAAATAGCATAACACAAAAAGGACACTTAAACAAAAAAAAATAGCACGAGTCTGACAACTGTATTCGGCATTGTTCATCTAACAAACGGCATACAGTCAAATAAACGGAAATACTGTAGAACGTTGTCAAAAGCGGGAATAAGTCCAGAGATTAAACATAAAGTGTCTGTAGCAACGGACGATGTTTCACCGATCAATGGGTCCAGACCCCAAGGCAGCGTTGATATTTGAAACACGATGTGAGTTACCATGAAAAAGTAGAATGTCATACATGAAGCGAACGGCACTGGCACCACATGTACAGTCTCTCCCGCATCTACTGGCTCTGCAGCCATGACACCTAGACATACCAAAAAAATGCACTATGAGCAACAAAATGTAAACAGACAACATATTAAAAAATAACCAAACTCCAGATCACCCACTTTTTCTCTCCAACGCATAGACCAGAATCAGGATCTCATCATCCCATTATTACGCACTGGCATAAAACTTAAAACGCACCAACCAAATAGCAAATACAGTATTACGCACAGACGTCACTCTAAGAATGCATACACCAATTCCTAGTACAAGATACGGTGAACAATATATATTATAATAAATGAGAACATGACAAGCCAATCAAGATTAAAGATACCTTGCATACCAAAAAAAAAAACAAAACAAAAAAAAAACAAAATATATTTCGGATACCTAAAACAAAACAAACATTAATGAACCCCATCAAATATGACCAACAAAATGCATACACTTCAAATATAAGATTACGCACAAGCCTAGAACGTATAACGCATCAACGAATTAGTAATCTCTTTATTACGCACAAACCTCATACGAATAACGCACACTACTTACTACTACCATATGCTTCACAATATTCGCAGAAAATGCTAAGTTGCAAAGGACATATGATACAGTCGAATTAAAATTCAAAACAAAAACAAGAGCCAATTACAACAAATATAGCAAATACAGAATTACGCACAAACGTCACTCTAAGAATGCACACACCATTTCCTAGTAAAAGATACGGTGAACATTATTATAATAAATGAGAACATGTCAATCCAAAACCCCACCGGAAAACCAGATACCCACCCAAACCCCCCCACCACCGTCGACAGCCCATCCACTGCAAAAAAAAAAAAAAAAAAAAAAAAAAAAAAAAAAAAAAAAAAAAAAAAAAAACCAAACCAACCCCTGCATGCCCCCACCCCACCCGTTCGAAAACCCCATCCCCCCCTCCCCCGGAAAACCCCACCCGAACCAAAACCCCACCGGAAAACCAGATACCCACCCAAAAAATACCAGGAAGTCGAAATACCTTGAGAAGACGCGGAAGAAACACCCCTCCGATGCTTAACATTCCTGCTAGAAGAATCCGCCATGTTCACAACCCACTTGCGTTACTAGAACAGACCGAAAAAGGAGAGGACGACACCACAGGGACACCGCTACCATCGGATTTGGAGAAGCCCTCGAGACGCGGGAGGAGAGAGGTGACAGACTCTGGAAGTGAATCGACAAAGAGATATGAAGAGTCCAATCGCAATTACAAAACTGTAATTGGTTTCATCCCATAAATAACACACGTATAAACCCCCCACGCACGCTATAATTATGGAATCTGAAATAACAACACAAGCAAAAGACCACAATGTCCCTACCTCATTTACTAAACATCAACACATGGGATTCAAAAACAAAAGATCCAAACCGTTAAAAAATAAAAATAAACGAACCAGATTATATCTTACCGTCTCATCAAAATATGAGTCTCATTGGATCCAATATCTATATATATATATATATATATATATATATATATATATATATATATATATATATATATATATATATATATATATATATATATATATATATATATATATATATATATATATATATAAACATCAACACATGGGATTCAAAAACAAAAGATCCAAACCGTTAAAAAATAAAAATAAACGAACCATGTGTTGATGTTTATTTTTATTTTTTAACGGTTTGGATCTTTTGTTTTTGAATCCCATGTGTTGATGTTTATATATATATATATATATATATATATATATATATATATATATATATATATATATATATATATATATATATATATATATATATATGAAAACCATTTTGAAGCAGGAAGATATAAACTTAGGAGACTCTAGCTTTAAAACCAGGGATAGACTCAACAGATAGGGATAAGCACATTAAGCGATGATAGACAGTTATATAGAGACAATATAAAGAACATGTATCTAAGGTCACCGTTCACTTTCAAATCATCCACATAAACATTCAATCATCATTCAAGTCACACAAGCATACTTTGGTGGCGCCACGGGACCAATCGCATGCCCCAAACATGAGGGTTAGTACATATAGTACTAACACGGCCCCGCAGCACCCTACCTCATATTGCAGCATGAAGGGGTTGACCGCAACCAACCGTATAGACCGTCGACGAACTCGACGGCGGATCATAGCCCTACACACCACTGACGCGCTCAGTCAGTGGAATGTGATCCTCTTTAAAGGGGGGACTGCGACCCTACACACCGCTTGACGAACTCAGTTGGTGGGTCGTAGTAGATCAAGCCCTACACACCGCCTAAGGGATTCATTCGGTGGGCGATGATCTTCGGAGACTACGAGCCTACACACCGCTGGCCCATACACTCGGTGGATCGTAGCCAACCGTAGCCCTACACACCGCCTGATCACTCATTCGGTGGGCTACAGCCTTCCTCGGGCTAATGGCCCTACACACCGCCTGGCGCGTCCAGTCGGTGGACTATAGCACACGAGTCCCACGTGGACCGCAGCCCAAGAAATGAATCACTGACCGTAGCCAGGAAAATGAACCCGCAGCTCATAAGTAACCAATTTGACCGCAGCCAACTTCTGAACCGTAGCTCAGGAACACCCAATTTGATCGCAACCAAATTGGGGTATCATGCATCACATAACACATAGTAGCACGTATTAGCACATTGGGAAGGGGGAGACGAATAAATAAACTTACGTGTGATCATTCACATACTAAGAATAGACCTAAGGGGTTCATGCATCTTCCACCTAGGCCAACGGGTTACCGGTTCAACTAGCATGCAATTCCTAAGACTCTCATATCCTACGAATAGCACCCGAAACATCAAACTAGACTCATGCACGACAAACGGGGTCCGTTGGGACACCACAGGGATTGGGGAACATCAAACAGGGAAGCCAAAGACCCGAAGTAGGCAGCAAACCAGCGGGTAGCCGGTGGGTGGAGGGCCACCCGCCGGCGATAAGCTTCCGGGCAGCGGGTGCCCGGCGGGCAGTCGCCTGCCCGCCGGCTGCCCACTGCCGGCGGTGCTCTTTAAGGCAGCGGGTAGGTGGCAGGTTCCCCTACCCCCACTGACTCCTTATTAAAATAAACGTCCCGGGATCCTTCGTGGAACCCGAAACCATGCTTAGACACTTTTAAACGCAAATAACGACACCTCGTAGACAATTAATGGATCAAAAGCAAGGATCACATAGGACACATCCTATCATGACTTCTAAACATAATCAACACCCGAACATGTGAATTCCCACCCAAATATACCAAGAAAATCACAATACGAAATTCATGATTCAACATAGGGCTCTAATTATATTTAAATCACAAAATCATGCTTTATCTTTAAAAATCAAGAACATCGAGATTTATCAAGAACATCACACAATTATCAAGATCCTCTTATCATCATCAAGATCATCAAGATCACACATAAAATCATCTCAACAATTATCAAGATCATATCACAATTATCATAGAAGATTTCATCAAGACACAAGTATAGAATAAGGAGCCAAAGAAGAAGATTTATAGAAAGGAAAATAGGTTTTGTTGAGACATGGATTACCTCTTAGCCTTAATTAATTTCCTTGGCTATGAAGGGTCTTTCTTTAAGATTTCTCCTTTCTTGATTTCTCCTATGGGAATTCTTGTGTGGTGAAAGTTATTGTGGTGTGAGTTCTAAGTGCCTCTTATGTCCCTATTTATATATCTAAGAGTCCCAATTAGGGTCTAAGTGGTATGAATTTGCTAATTCTATTTCCTATAGGACTAAGGGATTGGCTTTAGGGATAAGGGCCCATAGACTGTGGTGGACCCCCTTTTAGCTAATTAATGGATTTTAATTCCTTTTTTAGGGTGAGTAATTAATTAATTAATTTGGTTTAGGGGTTGTAACA